AATTTTTTAAACAGCTTATTTTTAGAGGCTAAAGGTAGACAGAAGTCATTCTGGGCTATTAATCAACTAGAAGCAAAGACAGAAATGTGCATTTCCAATTGATTTTTTTTAACCCACCTCCTCTGTTCTCCTGGTTCTAGGAGCAGAGACCTTTTGAAATTCAATGCTTGAAAGGAGCAGAGAGAAAATGAATAGAACAAGGTCCATGAAGCTTCAGAAAGTACAACTGTGCCATCAAAAATAACTAGTATAGGGAATTTAATTCACATGGCAGTCTAGTTGAATAGTTTATTGCCTGGTGGGCTAATAATGCTTCTTACTGTTTCTGTCTTCTCTTCCATTCAGATAAAAACAAAGACACAAAGGCAAGAGATAAAAACAACAGTCTACTAGACTATAAACTGTTCTTACAGACTACTATAAAAATTAAACACATACACACACTCTTCCAGATCATTTAATGCAAGTCCAGAGATCTTGCTGGTGGCAAATTATACAATGTTTTAAAATTAGTGTACATTGAAAGCTGTTTCCTAAGTTGTCTAGGTCTTTTAAACTTGTATTTCATTCTGACTGCCTTTCAGTTCAATCGTTTATTGAACATCTACTATATGTCACAGTCTGTTCTGGGCGATGGGAATATCAGTTACAAATGGCCTCTGATCTTGAGGAGCTTGTAATGAGTTTGTGAAGAAGATAGTGTATATGCAATTTTAATAAAAAGTGGTTGGGCTACATGTAGTGGCACATATCTGCAGTCCCAGCTATTTGGGAGAGTGAGGGAGCAGGATCTCTTGAGCCAGGAGTTCAAGGCTGTAGCATGCCATGATCGCACCTGTGAATAGCCACTGCACTCCAGTGCAACATAGCTAGACTCTCTCTCTAAAAATATAAGTAATTAAATTAAAAGGTGATTGGTGTAAGAGTGATAGAATACTCAGGTTAATGCTTGAACATGGGGTGGGAGCATGAAAGAGGGCAGGGAAGGTTTCCTAGAGCAAATGATGCCTCAAATAAGGCCTGTAGAAGAGTAGGCATTTAACCAGTGGGAGGAATATTTCAGGCAGAAAGAAGAATGAGTGCCTAAGGCACAGAGGGATGAAACAGCATGATGGACACTGCCAGGAGATGGGGTGGCTAGGAACCCCAAGCAACTTTGCATTTTTGGTGATTAAATGAGAGGCAGAGAGTAACAGAAGCCAGGACATAACAAATTATGTGTGCCATCCTGGCCTGTAGGTGGCCAGATGCCACTGAAAGGTTCAATTAGAGGAATGAACCAGACAGATCTGGATTTGAGATTCATCACTCTGGCAACTTATGGGACAAGATGGCATCTCAGAAGGTGAGAGGAAGTCAGGGGCTACTTTCTATAGCCCAGACTCTTCAGTGTCACTATTAAGAATGCAACCATTCCTGAAAGTATACTCTAGAATGATTCTGGGATGCCATGAGATCACTGGACCCAGAAACAGTTTGGAACCTCAAGTGCACCACTGGGCCATTTAAGGTCTCTCTGCTGGCAACTCCCCTGAATCACAGACTGATCGAATGACGGCTGGTTGTATAACTAGCTGCCTCTGACAGGCTCTAAGGTGTAAGTGGGCAAGCAGACCTCCTCCATCAGTGTTTGCTCTTTAACTCAAGCTCTGGAATAGAAGCGATTAACAAATAGCAGAACAGAACCTGTCAAATACAAGTTAATTATGTTGAATTTGTACTTAAGTCTCCTAACGAATAGAACTCGGGATACCACAGGCTTTTGTTGCCTTCATTTTTTCCTTTCTTTTTTTTTAATTTTTTTTTTGTTTTTTTAAGACGTCTTGCTCTGTCGCCCAGGCTGGAGTTCAGTGGCGCAAGATTCAGCTCACAGCAACCTCCACCTCCTGGGTTCAAGAGATTCTCCTGCCTTAGACTCCCGAGTAGCTGGGATTACAGGCACGCACCACCATGCCCGGCTAAGTTTTTTATTTTTAGTAGAGATGGGGTTTCACCATGTCGGCCAGGTTGGTCTCAAACTCCTGACCTCGTGATCTGCCTGCCTCAGCCTCCCAAAGTGCTGGGAACACAGGTGTGAGCCACAGCACCTGGCCAACACTTTTTCCTAATTTGACATTTAAAAAAGCATTGCACTGGGCAGGTAATGGGGCATCTGGGCAAATAAAATGCTTTCCAGCTTTGTCTATGTCTCATTCCCTACCAGCCTTACAGATTTTTCTTGCATCGCCTCAGGGGAACCCAGGGGCTGCAGTCACAATAGGCCTAGGAGCTTATATCAGACTTGAGCTCTTTTCCCAATCCTCTGCAACTGCTCTTCACCCACCCTAGCCCAACAACTCACAGCCAAGAGCTAATGCATGAAACTCCAAAACAATATGTAAGTATCATTCATTCCCACCACCTGAAGATCTCATTCCTTATCTTACTCTTCGTCCCATATCTCTGCCTGGCTATGATTTTTTTGCCTTCCCCTCCTTTATATTTACCATCCAAAAAAGCTAAAATTGAGCATTTGTTCCCAGTATCCATTCTCTGAAATATTCTTTTCCTATCTGTCATCAAAACCTTCCTTTTCCACAGCCAACCTAGCAAAATCTCACTTTCTCCATTCCTAGGTCATTTCCAGCCATAATAGCCCCTTCTCTTGACTTAATTCATGTAATAATGATTATCCATTTTGTAATAATGTATCTTGCATTGTCATCTGAATCAGCTTATACATTTTTTAAAGCCCAGACCAAGGCTTATACATTCTCAAGTCCCACCTGTGATGCCTACAGTGACATGCCTGGAGTGGGCTCAGTAAATCTCCATTGAACAATAACACTTTGACACTCACGTAAATTTCTTCAACCAGTATTTTCATTCACAAAGATAACAGAAAGGCCCTCAAGGGCCTCCACAGGCAGCAACTGAGAGCATTTTCTGAATTTATTTAAAAGGAAACGTTAAGCCTAAAAAAGGTTAAAAACACCTGCCCAAAGGTAAAGAAATGGCTGAGTCAACAATAAGACCATGAGTGTCCCAACTTTATAAAAGAAAATATTTAACAACTAAACAGCATCCCCTTTGACAAAGTTATCCTTACCTTCAACTCAAGACTTGTCTGCACTGAGAGTACTATGTATCTGTACTGTGCTTCAGAGAACCCAAAATGTCCGAAAATACTGAAGTCATTTGTATTGTTATGGAAATGAATACTATGATTCTGGGACCAATAGTCTTTCAACAATGTGACACATTGTACTGACACATTCCTTACATTTGGAGAAAGCCTGCCAGGGACAGAATCTGACAGGGCAGATGACCCACCTACACATGATCAAGAAGCTGATGATGTATCATGTCTTTGGAAAGTGGCACAGAATACTAAATGGATCATATGACAGTTACCCCAGGAGAAATGATTATAACCCAAGGTATTATACACAAACAAATAAACAAAATGGGGATGGGAGTGAAGACTACGTAGTAGGATAGACTTCTTCAGCCTAATGAAATGACTGGAGCTGAAAATGTTCTCAATTAAAAACATATGATTGTGCACTAATAGATTTTTTAAATGAGCACAAGTAACTAAATAAATTAGTAATCATACAGGTACTAATATACAATTATATAATGTACATTTTAAACACAAAACAGAAATTTGTAAAAGGTAAAGATAGAAACAGACCTTCTAAAATATTCTTCCTACACCCAATGGACTACTGGGCTCATTCCTTAGGGTTCACCACCTTGCTTTGGAGATACTGCTTTAAAATATTTATAAAAGTGCAAAGCCAAAGGTTATTACTCTAATTATCTCGAAAACTCCTAAATTACTTTCTTCCCTTAACTAAAGCATATGTGCCCTAATGTCCATAGCAAATTCATTAAAATTCTAACGGTAAAAAGTCAGAGAATGCACAAAATATCGGAGAAGGTTTATACTGGATAGTAACAAGAAGCTACAAAGTATAAACGGCTCAGAAGCAGAATTGATTTTGCTCGTTTTTGATCTAAACTGTGTCCCCTATAATTGTTGCAATTTACAGGCTCAGCGCTTTGACCCGTGTGCTGTTTCCAGCCACAGGAAGGAACTGGGTAGTCATTTAAAAACTGTCACATAAATAGCCACTTACCAGCTCACCTGGGGAGTGCAATGTTGGGCAAGTAGTAAAGAATGCCAATTTTATTTATTTTACTACTTATAAACTCCCTAAGGGGCAGGATAGTAAATTTTCTGAACATTCAACCCTTAATTATCCACACAGCAGATCAGAGAAGTCAAAGTAAATAATAAAAAAAAAATTTGTAATCACTTTGTAATGAAGACATATATTCAGGTATACTCAGGGATTTTTCATTAAGTTACGCAGGGACCACCAGCCGCAAAACAGTAGAGCACAGAGATCAAACACATGAGCTTTGGAGTCAAGAGACCAAAGCCTAAGTAACGGGCTTAGTAACTTACTAGCTGCATAACCTCAAGCAAGTTATTTAACCTCGGTAATTTTCTGTTCCCTCTTCTGTAAAATGAGGAAGCTAACATTAGCTACCTTACAGGTTTGTAGAGAAGATTAAATGACATAATGCATTTGAAGTACTCAACAGAGTACTTGGTAAATGTTTAATAAATGTGTATTTTAGTATTATTAGAGCTTAAGAACTGGATGGAAATCAGCAGGGAAGAGAGGAAGAGAGAGGATGTAATTATGGTCAAGTATATTGCAAAGCGATATAAAAGTCACTTTAAGGAACAACTGCTGTTCTTCTAAAAATATCCAAGGAACATGCATGTACCCTAATTGCTTTTGTGAAAACCTCGGTTTTTGACCAGATACCTATTCTAGGAAAGCAAGATGAAAAAGTTACTTTTCTTCCTACCTGAAAGAGTTTCCCTCCCTATGTTTCTAGAAATCTAGTTACCTATCACAGAGGTAGGAAACCCTGATTCAGTGTGATAGAGGCCCCTGGGGTTACTGAGACCAGCAAAAAACGTGGAATTCATACATTACCTGTGCCCAGTGGTTTTTAAATACAATCATGCATGTTTCTGGGTCAACTCCCTGTAGGCTCACAGCCTGCTGGAGTTTGCTTCCTGTCGAAACTGATGACATCATAAGACTTCATAAATCAATACTTCTAAGTCATATTTAATTTTCATTAAAATTTGGTAGCAGTCACTAACTTTCAGGTTTGAGAAATGGAACTTCTTCACATTTCATTGTCACCTTCCAAAACCTGTAATGGCAATAAAAAAAAAAATGAATTTTATTATGTTCATAAATTAAATAGGACACTGACTATTAAATTTAAATCAAAGCTTAGACATTCTTAAAGTCCAACATAGAAAAAAATCTACAAAACAGATACACTCAATCTAAAGGCTCTCCTATTTTCTCCTACTTTGCTACTGAAAATACAAAATAATAATACTACCTAAGCTAAATGAATAAATGAAACAATTATTGGGTTTCTTCTCTCCACTACAACTAGCCACAACCCCCCAAAATTACTATTCTAAATCACTCAAGTTCAAGTCTAGTTTCTAGAATCAAGCAAGAAACTATTAGGTTGGTGCAAAAGTAATTGCAGTTTTTGCCATTACTTTCAAGGGCAAAAATTGCAATTATTTTTGCACCAACCTATTATGATACCAATGTTTGCAGAGCTTAAAAACACCCAGTAACAGGAAAACCATGAGTTAATAGCAAGAGAAATAAATGGCTTGATGCAACTTGGGGGAGGTATTATAAAACAGCACCCAGATTCCTGGGTCTAATTTGATTGAATATTTTTTTAAATCAATGGCTGTCAGAATTGAAAGGATTCTCAATCATTTTGTGGCTATAAACTAGGTTAAAGTTTCTAGCTTTTCTGAAAAATAATAGAATTCCAAGTAACCTTGACAAATCAGAGATAGAAATGATCCATCAAAAACAAGATAGTGTTTATTAGGTGTGAGTGCAAGGCAGCACACTTACAAATGAAAAGTGAAACACGGAAAAAAAAACAAAGAAATCCTGACTACAAGAGAGTAAGTAGGGGAAAAAAGAAATTGAGGTCATAGAGTGTACGGTGAATATGATCCATTTGTGTGGCACTGACGAAAGCAGTAAGACAGTGCTTTGTCTCACCAGTTTGATCAGTCCATAAAAGGACTAGGTATAATTGAAAATACTATTTTTTTTAGTGTACTGATTGAGAAGAGTTCAGAAAAAAGTAATTACAATTACCAGAACCCTGGAAAATAAAAACCATAATAAAAGTTTGTAGACTCGTAATGCCAAAAGAAAACAGGGGGGTAGCCATTTTCAACAGAGTAATATGAAGGGTATTACAAGGAGAACACCAATCAGCTGTTCCTCCCTGTAAACAGTAAGATGGGAGAAAGTAGGCTTCAGAGGAGACTTAGGGGTTAAGTTCCTTGTGGGGAATAGAATTAAACACTGGAAAATAGTTAAGAAGTATTTAAAACGAGCACTTCTGTTAATAGGAGGGCAACTATTCATCATGAAAAGGTCTTAGAAAGAATTTTTAGGACATAAGAACAGAATACTTGCAAGCATAGTTCTGAGGAAAGAAACATTTTTGAAAAAGAATGGAGGAGAGTTAAGGTATACAGAAAGGACGGCCTGTTAAAAGAAGTACACAAATCACATACTCAAGGAAAAATGCCTGTGTGTTTCTTCTATAGCTTTATTTTATTAAAATTGAATTCCCCAAACTAAAATTCCAAATAATACAAACTTGTTTTCAATGGACATTGTCCACTGCCAACCATGGCTCTTTGCTACTATTGGGTCGATCTAGTGTTTCAAAAATCAGGAGTGGCTACCCCATATATGCAGGGAATGCATTCTCCCATCCCCACAGTCCCTGCCACTCCCTGTGATCTTACTGCCAGAACCTTCACCTCATTCAGGTTACCTCACTAGCCCTTATAAACATTTACATTTACAGCCTTGTTTTAAATGATAAGAGATAAAACAAGATTCTGAATCAACTTCCTCATTATTCTACACATTACATTTCTGTGAAAATGTCAAGGCCTTTTATTTAGGTTACATAGTGATAATAATGAAGAAAATCAAAGTTTTGATTTATCCCAGAGATCGAAAAACTACAAGACTCAAGTCATTCCAGCTCCAGAATTCAAAGATTCTTCTTCAGAGGTATGAAAGGAACATACATCATGCCAATTGCTTCTAAGTCAAAAACAGAAACATGCTAAGATCCTTCAAGTTAGTTTTCAGAAGGAATTTACATGCAATCTTCTCAGAAATGGCGAGAATGCAGTAGAGACGGGACAAATAGCCAATGCTATGAGCTTACTAGTTAGTTTGCTGTTGTTGGTGGTGGTGGTTGGTGGTGGTGGTGGTGGTGGTGGTGGTTGTTGTTGTTGTTGTTGTTGTTTTATTAGAGACAGAGTCTCAATTCATCACCCAGCCTGGAGTGCAGAAGCCATCATAGCTCACTGCAGCCTTGAACTCCTGGGCACAAGCAATCCTCCCACCTCAGCCTCCTGAATAGCTGGGACTACAGGCATGTGCCACCACACCCGTCCAATTTTTTTTCATTTTTTGTACAGACAGGGTCTCCCTATGTTGCCCAGGCTGGTCTCGAACTCCTGAGCTCAAGCAATTCTCCCGTTTTGGCTTCCCAAAGGGCTAGGATTACAGGCATGGGCCACCATGCCCAGCACAAGTTAATTTTGATAGAAACAGAATATAAATCTCTGTATTCCTAGTCCAGTGCTCTTTCAGGAAACTATATTCTCCTTTCTAAGGGCTATAATCGCTGGCCCTATTCTCTAAAGGAATTTGTAACATTTCTAAGAAAAGTGCATCTCATTTCATTTATTCTTATCCAACTATACTTTTGAAACAGATGCCTAAAGAATTAAAATGTATCATGAATGAAGAAACTACAATATAAAGAAAACTTGGGAGAGAAAGAAGGAATGAGGCAAGTCAAACAAGCTAAGTTTGAGAAGGAAACAAGTATGCCGGAAGATCCTACAAATGAAAAATACTACCTAGCACACCCAGAGAACAACAAAAAGTTGGATATTTTCATTCTCTCTCTCTCTCTGTCTTATTCCATATTAGAGTATTAAAACACTGGCATGTCACCAGGGCAATACATTAATAAAACGGAAAGAGATGGCTCCATTTTTATGAGAGATGCATAAGGACATATTTCCTCAAGCACTAAGGTGTTCAACACACTGCATTTTCCTGTTACTGGTGTTTTTTCCCTTTTTTGCAGCCACTCTAAGCTTTTTATTAAACTCTCAAATCACAGCTAAACCTCCCAAGAGAAGAACAAAGGACAGAATGAAGCCAAGGTAAGTAGGTAAAGGGGCTGCAGGTACTAAATGTGAGTCTGTCAGGAATATGGCATCATCAGACGTTTCTCCTTTCTTTCCCTCTACACTCTTCAGTCTAAGCTATGTGATGCCGAAAATGTTTGAAGCAAACCTTGCCACTCTTGGCACACATGCAGTCTGTTCTTCCCGTAAAGTCACACATGAACATTGACTCAAGTTTCATGCCTGAGAGAGAGCTCTACAAACCATTTAGATGCCAAGGAGTGATTTTTTTTTTATCTTTATTCAAAAAAACCACGAACACAAAAAAAATACTCAAAGTGGGTGCATGTAGGTGTGTGGTGTGGTTGAGTTTTTTGGTTGGGGGAATGGGCAAGAAAGAGATGAGCTGTCAAAATATATATACAACAGCTTGATATTTCAGCATAAATTCTACACTGCAAAGACAGAACTGACTATAGACATTATTGAGTGGCCATATTTATAACTTATTAATATTATATATAAAAATACTTTCCATCAATAAGGAAAGAAAAATTCTATTAAATATTGTTAGAGACAGGGATCACTGGCCAAAGAATTGTATCAATTTTATTTGCTGTTTTTCAAAAATACATATTTTTATTTGACTATGAAAAAAGCAAAACATATGCTTCCACCTTACAGAATAATAAAATATATAATTATAAAAGCTCAGATTCTAGCCATCTAAATCACATCTCTTTTCCAATGTAAAAATTTATTTCCCAGATAGACATCTTACCCAACTTCAGACTCTTTGGAAAGCTACAATAATTAGAAAAGCTAAAAATATGTCAAAATCGCATTTTTTCCTGAACTATCAGTAACTATATTTTGATATATCCCTTTCTTACTATCAGACTAAACTTAAACTATAAATATTTTGGCATTTAAATATTATCTCATACCATCCTTCAATTCTTTTATCTATTTAAATAAATATCCTCTAATGATGAATTTTTAAAAATTCTTAAGGGAAATAAATAGGATAGCCACCTTAAGGGGAGACAGAGCCAAAGGAACATTTTTATTCAAGGAAAAGTGATTATATTTGCAGGCCTAATGGGAATGAACCAATGAACACGCATAATTTGAAGATATAAGGAAAAGAATTTTGATGGAGCAAAAGGAGCAGAAGAAAGATGAGATCAAGAACACAGGTAGGAGAGTGCTAGAGATAAAAGGGAGGCAAAGTCAAGTCTTTCGTGGTGAGTTTCCAAACCAAAACCACTACCTTATACTTGATGGAAAGCACAGCTGGCTCCCTTTCTACCCCTCCTTCTTCATCCCTTCTGATATCACTCTGATGGGTTTGTGGAAATGGCTAGAGAATTTAGGTAGATTTAAAGTAGGGAACAAAGGATAATGGCTAAGAGTTGTTGACTCAGTCCAAGCCTGAAAGTCTAAAAATTTAAAGTCCCAACCTGGGAATCTGAGCTTCAAGCTAGGAGGTAGGTTCCCAAAACTCTAGTTCTAGCTCTAACCAGCTGTGAAACCTTGAGTGAAAAATGGGACTCTTCTTTTGGAATGTCACTTAGGTAAGCAGTTAGAACTAAAGTAAGATTTCTTAGGTCTCTTACAGCTTGAGTCATTATTCTATGTACTTTATCACAACTGTTATACTAACTGGAGAGGGGTAATCAGATAATCATTAAAGAAGGATGATGGCCTTTGTACAAAAATCTTCATAAGAATTCTAGTTGCAGATGGGATTCTATCTGTATTCTTTTTTACCATTAAGGCATATTTCACTTAAGGAACTTACAGCACAGGAAGCAGCCACAGTAAATATAATTCCATGGTTGAGGTTTTGTTTGTTTATTTCCTGAGCAACTGCCAATAGAAAAATTCATTGTTTGAGAATGTACTTTGGAATGCCCTAAATTGG